ATGACCTTGAAATGATATGCTGTTATAAATTAGTTGCTTCTCTTAAATCTGTTTACGATCTGCCAATGTGCGTTGGAGTCAATTGGTGGACCGTTTCTTCATATAAGCACATACTCGCTTATAAATGCGTATAACGAAGTAGGTATGCCTTGTAGTAATTTGTTCATTAAATTTAGAAGCGATGACAGAATGCAGTTTATACTTAGTTTCAAACGATAATTATAGACGATGTCTTGCACAGCAAGTACTTCCGTCACAACATTCAACTCTAGTTTTTTGGATTTATTAGAATTGAACCGTCTCCTAGTCGATGGTGGAGAGATTTTCGAATATTGTCATTAGCATAAGAAACATGCCCAAGAAAAGAATTGAAAGCATATTTTTCCATGGAAGCCAAGCTGACACAAAGACTAGACAGACGATGAGAAGCTGAACCAAATGTTCACAAAAACAAATCTATGGCCTGGGTATTTCGAGGCAACTATAGTAAGGAAATTACGTACTTGGCTTAAGAATGAAGCTGAAATCTAACGCAGAAACAGTGATCACAAATCAATTATCATTTAGAATCAATCAAGAAAATCCAAATGAGATTTATCCGATCAATTGTTTCCAACCAAGCTCCTAGAAAATTGCGATTTATTTCATCCACCTTCTCCATCCTACCCATCCCATTGTTGCTGTACCTAGCAAAGGTATATCCCACATTGTGGCTCATGTGTTCACTTCTTTACCAAGACCCACGAGCATATCGACTTGTGAGAACTGTGCTCTTCAAGCGTTACCCACCTGCCTTACCACCAAAGCCAACTTAATAGGGAGTTTTGCCTGATTAAGACAGAGATATAAACCTAATAGCACACACTGTGCCTAAATGTTAGCCAAATACATGCATAAAATTGGTAGGATATTTCATCTTCAGTGAGAAATTGAATCAATTCACTCCTACTCTTTACTCTGAAGCCTCTTTATGGAGGAGCGATCTGGGGCAGATGATGAATTGATTGTGGAATTTTATTCTATGTTGATTCATTTATTTCGAGAGAACCATTAACCACACAATTGTTATCTTTGAGCTTGTAGCGGGAAATGTTAAAATAAGCTGATTGTTGCTAGAAATAATACTTTTCCGGAGCTCTCAAAAGTTGAAACAACTTTTCAGTACATGTTTCAATAAATCAATTCCACGGATCAATACCCACCGCCATCTTGCTAGATCGTTGGTGATCAAATTCAATTACAATGTTTTTACTCCATATCATGATCTCATCTTAGCAAATTTTGAAGAACATATCCTCTCCCGTTGATTGATTGACTTTGAGAAATTTAATCTTTTTAAACTTTCCAACACAACATGAGGTATTAGTGTCTTATTGACATTTTAAGTTAGTGTTAGGAAATGTATCGATGTTAATCGAAGGAGGAAAGTTTCATCTTACCTAAAAACCCTTGCAATATAATATGAAGCAGTGACATTGTAAATATAGCCGTTCACTGAATGAATTGTCGCAGACAGAGCATTTTGAGCCTCTGATGTATTGGAAAATAAGACGAAACCAATTGGATTGGAGGGTTTCATAGAAACCTGTTCCACCATTCCAAATGTCTGGAAGTATGTCTTCAATTCATCTTCAGATGGAATTTCAGCCGACTTGTTCTTTGAGTACCGTTTGCTCAACCGATGAACACGGATACATGAAGTTGTTGCATTCAAATATTGGGCCTCAGAACAAATAGCTCTAAATGGGGATAAGAGTGGGCAGGTAATGGAGGAAATATTGAACTTCTCTTTTAGATATTGGTTAAAACACCAAATTGTTTGCACTTATGAGCGATTTCGTCTTAGTGCCACGTAAAGTAAGCATTTCCCGTTAGACCAGTGCTTTAGACCAGTGCTCTGTAATTTCCCATTCAGCAATAAGTGAAATTCAGTAAATCTAGGCTATAAGAATGCGAGTTCATCATACGGCTGTCTATCCCTGTTACTTCATTTACTAATGGAATTCCAATGTCCGCTACTTGACACGTTGAGCAATCTGTTTGGTTATCTCTCTTTCACTATCTCTCTTTCGTTGTTTAAATCGACTTAAACACAAACCTACATTGATCATTCTCACAATATTACAGTGAACTGCTTGTCACCCCCGTCCCCCACTCGCAAGTGAATAGCACCATTACACAGTTTATAAACACCTAAGACAGCAACTATTGAGGGGTAAATAATAATGTGGAATCACTGGGCATGGGCGAAAGCGATCTGTCATCGCATTTGCCTTCATTGAACAACTAAGTATCATCTCTTCATTAGCAAATAAACGGTTTAACATTTAACAATACCATTTTCCAAAGTGTAAGTTGAAATACAACTGTATAGGTTGTTCGCCTTAAGATGCAGCTCATTATAACCAACAAGGATCATTATTAACCCTACGACATTTTAAAAATTAATGTATTGTTATAGTGAGAACTAAAAGCTTACTTAACAATAGGGGGAATTTGACGAGTGGGCATGACATTGAAACAGCACTCATTCACTGAATGAGATGATGCAGACAGAGCATTTTGAGCCTCCGTTTTGTTAGAATATAAGACGAAACCATTTGGATCAGGTGGTTTGAACAAAACCAATTTCACAACTCCAAATTTCTGAAAGTATGCCTTCAATTCTTCTGCAGATGGAATCACAGCCGACTTCGTTTTTGAGTTCCGTTTCCCCAATCGCTGAATACGGATACACCGACAAGTTGCAATCAATTTGCGCGCCTCAGCATTGGTGGTTCTAGACGTGGATAAAAGTAGATAGGTAATACAAGAAACCTTGAAATTGAATGAAAGTATAGATTTTGACAACCACTTGTTTACATTATGGACCAACACGTCTTAGTGAAAATGTTAAATGAGGATTTTTCGACTTAACCGAATTATGCCATTGATCGGTGATGCACAATTAGCAATGCAGATGAACACCAGTATTGACGAATTCCATAACATCTGGAGTGGATGAATGCGAGTCCATCATAAAGTTGATCAGCCATATCACTCACAAGACAGATGTAATTTTACTGACTACTTCTGACATAGGTGTAGCTATCGGTTCATTACATGCTTACATGAAGAGATCGAGAAATCCATCCACCTCTTGTCCTAATCCAGTTTAATTGATAACTGAAATGTGTGCTAATCTACAGTTTTTACAAATCACCAACCAGTTGATGTAAGCGTGAATTCCCGAATGCACACGGTTGATTAAGAAGAAGTGCGTTGCATTAGCTTGACATTAGTTTGAAAATTATCTTGGCGAATCAGAGTAATTGAAGATAGAGGATAGTACCCTGAAGCAGAAGGCTCCTGTGAATTCGGAAGAGCTGATTGAGTAAAGGCTACTCTTCTGCGTACCCAACCTCGAATTGGGACAGATTGATCTAGTGAGGAGGGAGGAACTGCAGATTCTCTAAATGAAGAAGAAACATTTGGTCAATGACTAAGGCAAACATCAAATAACTTAAAATTTTTTATGCCATGTTTCTCTTCTCACTAACTATATTCCAATATTCTACATAATAAGGAAGTCCACGCAACCCTTCTCAATCGTCGAGAGTTTTATAACACTTCAAGTCACATTGGTAACTGACATTTGATTAATGCAAAATGATACCTTGGAAAGGAAAATTCCGAAAAAGAATTCGTCGAACTGATATCCGATTGTTGCAGGGATTGAAACCAAGGCGATTGGGATAACGATGATTGTGATTGATTGTGTGAAAAATCACTCTCTGATATTGTAGTTGAAGATTCTCTACAAAGTGACCAAACATCATTAGGAATTTGGCAGCACATGAATTGTGAAAATTCCAAGGAATTTAGTGGTCTCATCCTAGAGATAATCACCACTTAGAGCTCAGTGAAATACAAAAAGAGAATATATGCTTTGACTTGAAGGGAACAATTTGCATTCCGATTACCAACCTTAACAGCAAACTGATGCAAACTGTTTAGCTCATCCTAACAGCTAGTCTGGACAAATTTGTCATCTAACGGGTGAAGGCTTGAGCTCCACTCATCCATCTTGCCCAATCCGTGTAAGACCATTGGCATTGTTGAGTTTCGAAGTGGCAGGGGGAGGTGGTAGAATGTGGGTCTAGGATATAAATGTCATTCTCTATCACTTAATGGACAAATGGAATTGTTCTGGCTAATTGTGCGATAGGTGGAACAATCTATTAACTCCATGATAACACGAAGAGGTCTTGAAATCTACTCTCTGCTTGGGCTTCAACAAGTAACCTATTCTAAATGAGTTGCCAATGGATGCCTCAACCACAATATCATATTGAATATTAAAATATTCTAATCCATAGAATTGGCAAACCATATACCATAAGGTAAGCGTGAGCTCTCGAATGTATACGAGTGTTAATGATGAACTGCGTTACATTAGCTTGACACTGGTTTGAAAATTTGCTTGGCGAATCAGATCAATCAGTATATGAATCTGTTATTATTGATGCTACGATGGAGCTTTACCAAACCCAAAGTCCATTTCACACTTCTCCAGCAAGCATCTTTGGTG